GTCCAGGACTCCTAAATACTAATTAGTGCCTCGTCAGTTTGGCAACACCAGTCCACCCTCCTCCAGACCTGCCACCCCAGCGTACAGCTGTTGTCATTCCCCTCCCTGGCTTCACCTTCTGAAAGCACACACTGGAAGCATTCCCTTAGCTGGAAGGGTAGGCTGTTAGGTGGCAGGGCCCACGAGGTGGAGGACAGAGGAGGTGGAGGGCAGAGGAGGTGGGCCAAAGCCACACTTAGTTCTTGCATCTTCAGGAAGGAGAACTATCGATACTTCTAGAAAGTCAGGAAGGCGCGCAGTCAGCACTCCCTCTCCACTGCCGAGTGGACTGTTTCTCGTGGTATTGGTTGCATGGCAGTGTTCGTGCCCCAGTGGCTCCGTCATCGGATTGATGCACAGTGGAGACACAGTCATCCCTGGGGAAAGGGGTCTTCACTTAGGGTATACTCTCTCTCTATATATATATATTTTTAAATAATTATTTTTATTTTTTTAAAATTTTATTTATTATTTTAAAATTTGCTGTAGGGCACATGTGTTCACTAGAGAGAGAGAAAGTGAGGAAGCAGCCATCAGGTCTGGGCCTCAGACTGCTGTCAGCCGTGTAGGAGTCTACCGCCTTGATCACTTCACCACCTGCTGGCCCCTATTTTAACTTTCTTTCTTTTTTTTCCCCCAATTTTTTGCCATAGGGCATGTGTGCTTGCCAGAGAAAAGGCAGGAAAGTGAGAAAAATGTGTTGAAATTGTTGCCACACCACAATTCCTTCTCTATTCTCCTCCTGGGATTTTGGGTTTTCACTCACGCACATGTGCCTGGTGTGATTTTCACCAGGTCTAGGACTCAGACTGCAGCGGACTGTGTAGGAGTCCAACACTTCAACCACCATGCCACCTGCTGGCCTAGGGTTATTTTTAAATTTGCTATAGGGCACATGCACTCACCAGAGAGAGAGGGAAAGTGAGAAAGCAAGTTGCCAGGTTTGGGACTTGAACCATGGTCAGCCATGGTCAGACTTGAACCTTAGTCACCATGCCACGTGCTGGCCTCTAGGATATGCCGTCCTTATGTGTAATTGAGCCATGTTGTGTTAAATGCCTCATTCTTGGGTCCCAACTGTGTTTGTAGACTTGCCTCCCTTGAAAGTATTGAACGTTTCCTCTCCTCCCCTCCCCTCCCCTCCCCTCCCCTGTGCCTGCATTTTTAATTCTTTTATGCGGTGTGGGGAATCTAACCCATGTCCCCTCTCATCTCATCCTGGCCTGCTAAGCAGTAGCATAGTATGTGCAAGTTTGTTTTTTCTTTTGGTCAGAGGGCATGTGGATGCACACAAGAATTAGGGGTAGGGAGGGTGGTGTACCCCCAACGGGCCTGGTCACACTAACCCATTTTCCTCCAATTCTCCATCTTGGGTTTGTGTGCATGCCTGATGTGTTTTTCTCAAGCTGCTAGGGAGGATTCAAACCCTAGTCAAGATCCGGCTTCCTCCATGCAGTGCTCAACTGCTGCTCTACCGGACCAGCTGGTGTGGACAGCAGTTTCTGCATTTAGAATGGGCTGCTGGGCCCTCCAGGTGGTTGTCATCTTACCTGAGTTTTAGCTGCCATCCTTCTGCATTCGACAGTTTTTCTAAACGTGACCACAGCTGGCTCCTTTGTGGAGAGACCTGGGAGGAAGGAAACTAGAGGGCGTGCCTTGGGTCCCCACATGTGAAGGACTGGGGACACTGAGGTTTAGCCGAATCTTTAATAGATGGCAACCTGCCCAGGTTGCTACAACACAGCACCACAGGCCGGGCGGCGTCCACAGCAGACGTTCGTTTTCTCACGGTTCGGGCAGGATGAGGTCAGGTGCCAGCATGGTGGCGTTCTGGTGAGGCCTTCCTCCTGGCTGCCTTCGTGCTGTGTGCAGTGGCGGGAGATGGTCTCCTCCTCTCAGATGGCCACCAGGCCTATCCGGGGCGGTCCTACCCTCACATCTCACTTCGCCTTGATTCCCTCCCCGAGTCCTGTCTCCACACACAGCCGCATGGGAGTTTAGGGCTTCAGTGTTTGAGTTTGGGGGACGGGGCAGAGCGCAGCCTCCTCCCCGCAGAGTCGTGAGGAACCAGGCCCGTCAGCGTCACGCCCTCTGACGCCCTGGGTGGCCATTTGGAAGGCAGTGTTAGGTCTCCCCAGACGTGGGAGCTTTTCCCATCTCCATCTTCCTGCCGCCTCCTTTTTTAAAATCTGCCAAAGGGGGTGTGTGCTTGACAGACAGAGGGAGCCCCCGCTGCCATGGAGAGCGGTCACGCTGTCATCTCTTGTCCGTTCTCCATCCTGTTGGGATTTGGGCCACACTCACACGTGCACCTGGCGTGTTTTTCAAGGCGCTGGGGCTGAGATTCGAACTACGTGGCTCCCTTAACCACCAGGCCGCAGGGCCGATCGTTTCCTGCCTTCTTGAGGTTCAGGGTAGAGTGCGTGAGGGGAGAATGGAAGAGTGCTTGCTTCTCCCCTCCAAGCTCAGAACCGCATGCGTGTGGGTGTGCGCACTGACACGCTGATGTGAACGAAGACCTGTCTTGTCACCTCTGTCACCTGTGTCGTCTGTCTAGACTGGGGAATGAGATGAGAGGAACACGGTGGAAGCCCTCTCCCCCACCTTCCTCTTACCCACCACACACAGCAGCCGCGAGCGCTCTGAGTGCTGCCTGTAACCCTGAGCGGTGCCCGCAGTGCACAGCGCGGCTGCAGGCTGCTCTCGCCGCGCCCACACGCTGCACCCACCCGGGACCGTGCTTACCTAGGGCCGGCCTGCCCCAGGCCCGTTTGTGCAGTCATAGCTGGTATAGTAGCTGAGTGATGTGCTGAAAGGTCAGAGGAGCTGACCAAACATGACTGCAGATGGAGTGGTTTTCCTTTTGCCTTGGAAACCCTAGTTATAGATCTATTTAAGTCACTAAAATACTTGACTGCCGTATTAGATGAGCATTAAGACTGGGGGCAATCATAAACCCTAAAGTTATTTTTTTTTTTAAAGAATTATTTATTTTGTTTGTTGTTATTTTAAAATGTGGCCAGAGAGAGGCAGAGAGGGAGGGAGAGAAAGTGAGAAAGCAAGCTACCAGGTCTTTGACTCAAACGGTGGTTGGCCATGTACAAGTCCAGCATCCCAACCACCGTGCCACCTGCTGGCCTCAAAACCCTAAAATTTTATACAGTGATTATCCTGGAAGTAGCTACATTTTTGTTCCACTTCAAAAAACCAGGAACTGGAAATTTTAGGTTCAAACAAAAAAGATGTGGAACTCTGACCAGTGGACCTTATTCAAAGGATCTTGGTAGACATTAAAGAATGGGCGAGTGAGGGCCGACTTTGTGGCCTTGTGGTCAGGGCAGCCAATCCCACGTGGACAACTCCACAGTTTGAGTCTCAGACATGGTAACTTGAGAAACACGCTGGGCAAAGTGTGCATTCATGTCCAGAATCCTGAAAGAAGGGAGAAATGGAGGAGAAGGGATTGTAGCATGACCATGCCCCATGGGGTGGTGCTAGCTCACTTTCTGTCTCTCCATCTCTCTCTTTCTCTGGTGAGTGTACACCCCCTCTGGCAAATTAGATTAAGAAAAGATAAAAGGAATGGGCGGATGAGGGCAGGCTCTGCGGTCTGGTGTCATGGCAGCCAGATCCCACATGGTTCACTGTGCAGTTTGAGTCCCAGACCTGGTGGCTTGAGAAATAAGCCAGGAGCCTGTACACCCATGGTACTGAGAGGACGGAGCAATTGAGGCGTGGCCATTCCCCATGGGGGGTGCTTTCTTCTCTGCTTCTCTGTCTTTCTCTGGCAAGTGCACATGCCCTCTAGCCAAAAGAAAGAGAAAAGGGTAAATGAACGCACATTTGCATGTGTTAGGCAAATATAACAATTTTAGGTATATCTTTTTCAAGGGAGATTTTTGCTGTAGGGTGCATGTACTCACTGGAGAGATAGAAACAGAAAGTGAGAAATCACCCACTGAGGGTATGGCCACGCCACAGTCCCTTCTCCTGGGATCTTGGGCATACACACTCACACACCCGGCATGAGTTTCAAGCCCCTGGGTCCAGGAATCAAAATGCTGTCTGCCGTGTGGGAGTCCAGTGACATAACCATTAGGCCATCTGCTGGTCCCTAGGTACATCATTTTTATGATTCCCTGCTCTAACTTTTTTGACTAACCTGATCCCTGGATCCGATCACATTGGAAATGTGGCTTTCTACTGTTGTGATTCAGTTTAGAGCTAGTTTGGGGAACTGTATTAGTGGATTTGGGGAATTGTATTTTGTGTATGGTGTAAACTTAAAAAAAACCCTAGCATTAGCAAAGCTTTAAAAATTGGGGTTTTATGGGCTAGCAGGTGGTGTGGAGGTTAAGGCGGCTGGATCCCACGTGGCTGACTTTGTGGTTTGAGCCCTGGACCTGGTGGCTTCCAAAACATGCCAGGCATGTGTGCATGCATGCCTAAAATCCCCAGAGAAGAAGAGACTGTGGTATGGCTATCATCCCCCTGCCCCGGCCAGGGGAGAGTTCTCACCTCTCTCTCTTTCTCTTTCTGTCTCTGTCTCCAGCAAGTACATGTGCCTTATAATGGCTCAGTCTGGATTTTAGATTCTTTTTTTTTTTTTTAAAACAAATTATTTTATTTAACTCCTCCCCTCCCTTCCTCCCTCCCTCCCACCTGCTCATGCACGTGCTTTCTCTTTTTTCCTTCCTTCCTTCTTACCAGAGTGAGAGAGAGAAAGTGAGAAAGAAAGGAAAAAAAAAAAAAAAGAAAGCCCTGAGAGGCGAGCGTTGGTGGTGAATGATGAAGGGAGGCTGAAGGAAGCGGGCAGAGTGGAACCCTCCCCTCTAGCCGACTCCTGTCATTCTCTGTCAGACCCCAGGGCTGGGATTCTCCGTGACTCCTCTGGGACGTCACTGACCTGTGCCTGTGACTCCTCTGGAGACAGTATTGACTCGTGCTCTCCTCTGGGACAGGACCAACCTGGAGGCCTTGCAGAAGAAGCTGGAGGAGCTGGAACTGGACGAACAGCAGCGGAAGCGCCTAGAGGCCTTTCTCACCCAGAAGCAGAAGGTGGGAGAACTGAAGGATGACGACTTCGAGAAGATCAGTGAGCTGGGCGCAGGCAACGGTGGTGTGGTGTTCAAGGTCTCCCACAAGCCATCCGGCCTGGTCATGGCCAGGAAGGTGAGTTTGCCTCGATGGACAGGTGCCTGAATTCTCTCTCTGAATACCTAGCGGCCTTGGGACGAGGGTGGAAGGAAGACTCACGTTTCCACTCAGCATCTTTCGGGGCTGATCGAAGTCCACACGCATGCAGTCCACTGTGTTACGGCTGAATGCACTGATGACTGCCTCAGGGCACCAATCCCATCTCCAGTCTGGGAGATGACGGTGCGTGACGTGCTTTAGTTTCTACGTGCTGTTGGAAGAGAGGCCAGGGTGCCCGTCTGTCATTTAGCAAGGGCAGGAGAAGCTGCGTTCATTCACCTGGCCCCAGCGACGCCCAGATGCTAGTACCAGTTGGTGCTGTGCACCAGCCCTGCCCGTGGCTCCCCATCCTTCCTACAGTGTAATGTCGGCACTCACTCTGGCATGCGGCCTTTGGGCCATCGTTGCTCCTCTTTCTGAACACAGCCCCATTACTCCAGTGGTCAGACTTTCTGTGTCTCAGGCATGAGGAGCATTATATTCCTTCCTGTCCCATATTTTGGCTTGTGCTGTTTTCTACCTCTTTGCAAACAGTGGCCATCTTCAGGGCCCACCTCCTGCCTAGCTTTTGCCAGTTTCTCCAGTTCATGTGGGTACTTTTGTGCCCTCTGACACTCGGGGCCTCTGGCAGTTCCTAGAGGCTCAGCTTGATTAGGTAACCATCGAATATGTCTGCCACTCTTCTCCTGGCTGGACCGAGAGATAGGGCACACAAGGTAGCACCCGAGACTTTGTCTCAGTTCTGACCATGGCAGGCTTCAGAGGTCAAGGAGGACTGTCTCGGACAGCTCGGGTTAGCACACCTCAGTTCCTTCTGCCCTTTGACCCCCACAACTTCGAGTACGGATCAAGTCCTCAAGACCCATTTCCCTTCTTATATCAGCTCCACAGTCCTTTGAGTGAACCCTCCATTCGACGTTGTTCTGGGGAGGGGAGCCTCCTGTTCCCCGGTCTTGTCTCCCAGGAGCAGAGGCTCAGATGTCTCCTGGGTACAGCTCTCCAGCACCTGCCTGTACGTTGGCACTCAGCACTTTGGTTGAGCAGGAACGTTTTTGCTGTTTCTCCTCCCTGTCCCATCTTCCCTCCCTTTCTTCCTTTCCTTTGAACTCTCTTCCTCTCACCCTTCTTTCCCCAGCTAATCCACCTGGAGATCAAGCCGGCCATCCGGAACCAGATCATCAGGGAGCTGCAGGTTCTGCACGAGTGCAACTCCCCGTACATCGTGGGCTTCTACGGAGCCTTCTACAGCGACGGCGAGATCAGCATCTGCATGGAGCACATGGTATGCCGGCCAGCCTCTGGGCACGGCCCGGCGGGCAGTGGCGCGGGCACATGATGGCAGCCTCTTTCTGGGTCCCTGCCTGCCTTCGAAGAGAGGCGGCTGTAAGCAGGTCTCCCTGTGGGTCTCCTGGTGCTCTCCTGGCCGGGTGATCCTAACATTTTGGTGTAGCTAAACTCTGGCCGATCAAGGTTAAATTCATGTATTAGACACCACACTGAGTGCTCGATGTGAGGTACTGGGGTTGCGAAGGTGAACGAGATGGTCCCTGCTTTTGGAGAGTTTCTGGTCTGCTTTAAGGGCAGCCTGGCGGGCTTGTCTAGGTATGGCAAGCAGCAGTCCCACCTGAGGCACGTCAGCGGAACAAGAGGACAAGTGACAGGGAATTTATGGGCTGTTTCTGGGCATGGGAGCCAGGCTTTGTCATTAGCTGTCTGGAATCCTGGCTTCTCTTCCCAGTGACTAACAAATATTAGTGATAGTGTTAATACTCACAGTGGTAAGCTAATATAGATTGGTGTATCTTATATTGAACAGTATCCTGAGAAAATGAATATTTTATTATATTTTCACATTAACTGTTTTTTGTTTTTTTGGGGGGGGGGAGAGGTTTTTGCTATAGGGCGCGTGTGCTTGCCAGACAGACTGAGAGACAGAGAGATAGAAAGCGAGAAATCACCCCCTGGGGGGATGGCCACGCCGCAATCCCTTCTCCTCCATTCTCCTCTCGGGATCTTGGGCACGCACGCACACGTGCCCGGCGTGAGTTTAAGCCACCGGGTCCGGGACGCGAACCACGATTGGCTACGTGGGAGTCCAGTGACATAGCCATTACGCTAACTGCTGGTCCCTCTCCCTGTCCTTTAGACCTCCCCAGACCTCCAGAGTGGCCTAGTGAACTCCAGGAGGTCCCTGGCAGGTTTCTTTCTCGCTGATGTTCTCATGGTTCCGAACACCTCCTCGTCACGATCAGGTGCTGTGTCCACTGTGCAGGCATCTACCCACATTCGTGGGGACCGTGTGGGCTGCAGCTCTGAGAACGTCTTCTGGGCGTCTGAAGGTTATTGAGACCGCTTCCCTTCTCTCTTGCTTCAGAGGGAGGGAGACAGTCTCTGAGGGAAGCCTGAGAACATTCTGGCTTGTTCTTGGCCTGGTCTGGGGTGCCACGTAAACCCGAGGGTTTCAGCCTCCCCTCGGTCTGCTTCTCTTTTCCTTTTAGATTTTTGCCATAGGGTACATATGCTTGCCAGAGAGAGAAAAAAAGTGAAAAATCACCCCCCCATGGGAATGGCCACACCACAATCCATTCTCCAACATTTTTCTCAGGATTTGGGCATGCATGCACATGCGTGTGTTTTTCAAGTCACTGTGTCCAAGACTTGAACTGTAGAGTCAGTTATGTGGGATGTGGAGCCTTAACCACTATGCCAACTGCTCAGCCCTGGTTCTTGTCCTTTGGGTTTCTTGTGCTCTTCATGTTGGCGATGGTTAATTTTTCAGCTCTAGCCCAAGAATTGTTGATGGAGATGTGTAAGTGAGAACTAGAATTGGAAGACTGTGGGGGTGATGGTGATGCCCCAGTGATAGGAAAGGCCAGAGGAGCCGTCTTTCCTCTCAGGCCTTGCTACAGTCCTACAAGGTGGGTGGTGCCATGACTAGTTTCTGCATCGTCTGCCGTCTGCTGAGTCCTCTGTGCATCATGACAGTTATTTATCACGTCAGCCCCACTGCGCGAGGTGCATTGTTGACCCCAGCTTGTAGATGGCGAGCATGACGTCCCGAGAGGTTTTGTAATCAGCCGTGCTCACACGCCGTGAGTGTCAGGGTCTCTGACCAGGTCTGTTTTCCTTGAATTTATTCTCTGTGTGGAGAAGTGGTTGGAGATCTCTGCTAGGGCCCTCCCCATGCTCACATCCTCCGTGCGGATGGTTTTGGCACTTGTAGCAGTCAAGGTTTACGTTCACTGAGCAACATGGGTTCAGCTTCACAAATACTTACTTTTAGCACCTGTTATGTGTGGAGTGCTACGTGAGCTGCTGAGGGATGGAGGCAGGGAGAGCGGCGTCCCTGCCCAAGCTGTGCGGCTGTGCCCTGGCATCGCGTGAGGGTGTTGCTGTGCGGATGAGTAGCTGAGCACCAGGGACGTGTCTTCGAAGTCCCACGCTCTTC